TTTTAACTTTGCTATGCTGCTGCTAAAAGTCTATAAAGATACTTTGCTCTTTCAGGGATCTTCACCCTGAAAAAAGGGACTTCATAATCCCCAGGGCGTGAGAGTTGATACTTAAATATTTAGCTGAGACGTGTTTACTCACCAGAACCAGAAGCAGGTTGTACCAAAGCTTGGAACAGAACTGAAAACTCTAGATCTGTTTTTAGGATAATACTGAGTCTAAAACCCTGTGTGGCTGAGGTTTCATGATTGCTTTAGATGCTTTAAATTGTAAGTGGAGGCTGCAATCAAAAGGAATGGACTGATCTGTCTAGTGCATCCGTTCATTCCTCCTCCTTTGCATTGGCACTAGCATTCAATTCTTGGCTAACAACTTTGATCAAGAAACCAATGCAGTTATAAAAGTCAACCCAGTTACATAAAGAAAGAAGAGTGTTCAGCTCTCCACGCAGCCAGACCAGAAGTGAGGCTAGCACAAGGGGAATGGCATCAACAGGCACTTTCACAGGAGATGAGGCACAACTGCCTTCTTGGTAGCAGCCTAAACTTGAGTTGGTTTAAAGTTATCGTGAACCTGCAAGCACTGTAGGAACATACATCAGTTCTTTGGATTGCATGTGAAGCATTTGTCTTGTGTGTTTTCAACACTTACTGTTTGTCCTTGGTATAGTAGAAATCAATTGGCAACACTGTTTTTATTAATAGATGGAAATGAAATAGGTTCAAAATGGTGCTGGCTTAAAACTTTCGTCTCTGATCTTTTAATAAATATTTATTTGCTTCATTTTCAGGCAAACATTTTATTTCCCCAAAAATGTCCCAGTGACTGAAAAATCATGGATATGAATCTTTCTGGAAAATGAATTGATAGCATTTAGCATTGTGAGCATTATTACTGCAAAATTTTCATTTGCAGATCTTTGTTACAATGTTTACCCAAACCTAGCTGTAATCCTAAACTGTAAAACTAGCTTAACTAGGATTCATGTGGGAATGTTGAGGTGAAATTCTGTGGTTTCTCTTTTGCAGGAGGTCAAGTGAATTTATCAGTGATCTCTGCTGGTCTAAAAAAGTACACGAATCCCAACTACATGAATCCCAACTGAAGGTGTAATGTGGCAGAACAGCATGGTTCTGCTCTGAGATGAGACTGTATTTTTAGAGAGGGAGAGGGAAAAACATGGTTGTGAGTTGAAGAGTTACTTAATGTGTTGATTCTACAAAATGAGAATTTCAAGGAGGTAATATCCTCAGCTTTTCAATACGTCAATCTTTGAAGTAACATGAAGGCTTTGGCTGAAAAAAGTGAATGAAAATTTAATCTCAATGTGTGTGTGTGTGGTGGTGGTTGGGTTTTTTAAGCATATTAAAATTGAAGTGAGTTTTGTGCTGCTGCTATTCAGGGTCTGTTATATGCATCTTAATATCTTCTTTCATTTTAGGGAAATGGTACGCAATAATAGGCTTATCTTGAGAATTAAACTTGATTTTTTTCTTGTTACATTAAACTTGGGCATAATTCGAATCAAGTCACTGAATTACAATAGGCTAAAACTGGTGAAAAAAATTGTTGGAAAATCAGAACTCATGCACAACTATCAAAACATAAATATATTTAATCCCTCTTAAAACTAAATCTGCCTTCAGTTAAGAACTACTGGATTCATAAACGTAATACATGAATGATAAGATTTTTAATATTTCAAGACATTATATCTTGTTTAAAATATGAAACTGCTGATTTTATTGAGCCAATAGGTTTTCCAGTTTTCTAGCAGTGGCCTTGCAAACTGTTCAAATATGATCAGCTCACTGTGTTTTAAAAAAAACAACCAACCAACAAACAAACAAAAACCCTAAACAATACCCCACAACAAATCAACAAAACCAAGCCATGACTGAACCCAACAAAAACCAGTCCAATTTATATGTCTTTTCTACTGATCTTCTAACAGGTTAATTCCTAACCAGTATTTGCTGCTTGTTTTGCCCTCCCCCCACTCTGTCCTTCACTTCTTGTTCCCTCTTCTCTTGAACTTCACATTGTCACTAGGTGGATAAATTTTTCACCTTTCTTCCTCCTCAGACAGGAGGAGCAACGCGAAGCAACTTTTCTAGCAAGAGCATAAAGTGTTTTTTTTATGTCTTGCACTCTGTTCCATCTCAGTGGTCCACTAACCTTCATTGAAAAGCAGTCTGCGTTCCCGCCCGCCAGTCCTCGACCCCCTTTAAAAACCCCTCAAAACCAGAAGAACAGAGCAACCATTCTGGAAGGTTCTGATGAATATTGTCTATATTCTTTGCTTTCTCTTGTTCTTAAACTTAGTTGTATGGGTGTGTCTTTATTTTTTTAATAACCTCATAGGCGAAACAGCAGCTATATACATTTCTACAGCATCAAGTGTACGTTTATTTATGAGCATTTTATTCTCCAAGCACACAGCAAAAGCAGGGACAGGCCAGACTGACTAGCATTGATCAGCACCATTATTGTGGGGCTGGGGACTGGCTCTACCTACTAAAACATGGATTGGGCCGTTTTGGACAGTTAGTGATTTAATGGCTTTGTTTTTCTTACTTCAGAGGTACAGGACACTAACAGGATACAAAGCCAGCTCTGCATTGAGAGTCAGAGCAAATGCGCGGATGGAGATCAAGTTGTAAGATTTGACCTTTGCCTGCCTTTGAGGAATGATGCTGGCTGCCAAAGCTGCGAGTTTTGGGAGCAATAGCAGCTACCCAGTGGGGGAAGTAGTAAAGTCATTAGTGCCTCTGTCTGCACACAGGATAAAAACAAGACCTTCAGGAGATAAATAGGTAGCAAAAGAGGAGAATAGTAGGACAAGAAAGCCTGCATGTCTGTTTTGCCATCCCAGATAAGGAGCAGGTTGTACAGAACGTGCCCTTCTATGCTTTTTCTCCCTGATGTCTTTGGCTGCTGCACAGTAAGTGTTGCTTCTCTGTCGTAAATTTGAAATGAATGGATTGTTTCTCCATTTGCCAGTGGGCCGGATGTTTCTGTTTCATCAGTAATGTGTCAGATGTGTTTGCGCAGCATTGTTTATAACTGCAGAGACTGTTCATGTTTCTATATCATCCTGTTGGATGGCATCATTCCAAAATATGTCATTGTGGTGGGTGATCAGCAAACTCTACTGTACATGGAAGTAATTTTGGGGGTTTGGGGCTTTTGTTTTGTTCATGCAAGATACAAATGAATTCATGAAGAAAAGCAGCCTTCAAAGTGTTTGATTAAAGCTGGAATGATATTGATGATGCAGGTTTCAGAAGTTGCAGAATTGAAGATCTCCACAGGACCAGTAGGAAAACTGCAGTCTCAAGAAGTTCTGTATATTTGTCACAGAAAAAACAACTGCAACTCAAAGATTTCTCGGTCAGGGTTTGTATTCAGTTGTTTGTTATGAAATAGCATATTCGGAGTAAAAGCTGGTTTCTGTTTGTCCTCTGACTGGCAGAAGAAAACAACAACAAAAACCTAGAACTGAATAAATATATAAATAATGGTTGAGATGTTGACTGATGGTGGTTCAGGGGGGTATTGTGAAATACTTGGCCAAATAATAGAACATATTCAATAGAGTGGGGCTAATGAGGCAAGTATAAGATTATTTTCTTTGGGAGCCTAAACGTAGTTGAAAAACATGGATCTTGTCCATTGTGATGGTAACTACGAAAAGAAACTGTTTAATTACTGTTGCAACTTATTTTTAAAGAATATATATGTTGCATTTACCAGTTGGAACCTTGAAAAAAATGTGATTTTGGTAAGTTATGACTATGAAGGTGTTCAAGACTGAAAGTTTGATGCACTTCCCGTGTGAAAATTACATTTTTTGTAGAAATATTGAAGGTGGAAATACTGAATTATTTTTTACAAAGAAAGAGGAAGCTGAAGACCTCAACCATTTAAGCTCCCCAAAAACCCACAAGCAATGTTTTTCCCTGCCTTGTATAAATATTTCTTTGTTCCTAGGTTTAAATATCCCTTGCCCTTTCTAGCACAAATGAGACTTGTGGCTTCTCTCATCCAGAATAAATCTGTTGCTTCTCTTGATGACTTGGTGCTTATATATTTCGTATGAACTTAAGAAGCTCGGATAGCATTTCAGTTGTATTTACCACTTTGTTCAGTCATTCCCAAGTCAGACAATACTTGCTAAAACTGATGAGACTAAAGTTTTAAGCAGTGAATTTGCAGGGTGATTTAACTTATGTTTTCTGTTTTGTCAAATCTTTTAATTTAGCTGCTGATGTGTTCCTTTTTTAGGATTTGAATAGCCTTCTAAAAGACTTGCACTTAAATTACTATTAAAAGTCGAGCTTAACCATTGAAGTGACTCGGAACTGGTGCTGCTGGATGCGGCAATTCTGAAATATTTTTAAAAGCTGAACCCTGTTCTCCTTAGTTGCCTTTCAATAACGGGGTGTAAACACTGCTTTTTTTTTTTTTTTTTTAAATTGACACTCTGATGCAGAGAGCTGTCTTTGTCTGGTACAACACTGAGCATGCTGTCCACAAAATGATAAACCTTTTGGTATGTTTCTCAGGTCTGTAAAATTGTCTGAATATAAAGTGTGCATGAAATATCAAGTCTTGCCTCTTCAAAAGCTGTAGAAATCGTAGGGGCAGCCAGCAATTGACATTGTTCGTGTGTGTTCTACTTCGATGTGTAGATCAGCTGGGTAAGTGTTGCTGGCAAAGCATGTGATGATAACTTTGTTTTGTCGTTTTGCCTGACAAAGCTACTTTTAGGAAGGATTTTAGCTAGAATTTTACAGCAAAGACTTCATGATGGTGTATAAAAGAATCATGGTCTGTTAAATTTGGAAAACTTATTTGAGCAGGTAAGTGCTTTATGGCTGGATTAATGAGTAACTTCTACTTCAATTAGTTACTGTTCTCCTACAGTGTAGTATTTGGGTTTCTTTTTCCCTATAAAAACTCTCCTTGTTTTTACTCAGTCATTTGGCACCCCAAGATGCGTGTTGCCCCCAGTGAGCTGCAGTTACTCCTGATGGGAATGGTTTGTATTACAGAGTTTCATGCGGTACCATCTACTCTTCAGAAAGGTAGGGTGAAAATTTCACGTCTACCTTTAACAGTTTTTTAAGTACTAACACTTTTGTTCTTAGGCAGTGACAAGCATGGGTATCAGTGCTGAAATAAAGAAGCTGCACTAATTTCACGCTCTTAAGTGTTTGACCCTAAGAGCTCATAGACCTAGGCACAAGGTGTCATTAGACTAACTGGTGTAATTCTCATTCTTCGCTTTGTTCCAACCCACGTCTGTAACTGAGAGTTATCTTTTAATGAGTAATTCTTATGAAACTTTTTGTATGGTTCCTTGATGATTCAGAATGAATAACATCAACTAAATATGATTTATAATTAAATAAATAAAATTAAGTACTCTCAGATTTGCAGCAAGTTAACGAAAGTCATGGTTTAGCATGTTGCCCATGGGCTGCAAATAAAATATTGAGTTGTCTCTTCCATTGTCTTACATCTTAAAATCCAGAGTATTCTTTTTTTTGGAACAATTAATGATTGCAATTGTTCCTGTTTCCTTCATGAAGATTTACTGAGTTATAGCGAACTGGAATGGAAAACAGATCTTGGCTGTTTGCATAACCTTTTTGCTTCCATTTTAAATTTGCAGTAGTAAAAAAAGGGAAATTTACAGTTTGATTTCTGAAATACTGCAAATCAATTGTTTTCACTGTAAAAAACTCTATTTTGGCTGTCCAAACACATGTGGTATATAAATCATCATAATAAGTTGCTCGCTTAAGCAATCCAAAGCACAGTTTTCTGTAGAATAGTATTCACTGTCTTCAGCATCCTGCCTTTCAGATGGATGTGATGGAGTTTACATAGAAATCTCTCATCTGACCAGTGAGCAGTGTTTGTCCTGAAGCAGCCTGTAAAGCAGTCTGTAGTCTCCTGGGCTTACAAATGCCACGCCACAGAAGACTTTAGACTTTGTCAAAATATAGATAATAGAAGTTTGGTATGATATTAATATAAATATTATCTTGTAACATTTAAACTAATCTTGCATATGTTAGGAGAATAGACTTATTCCATGACGAAAGAAAAAAGGGAAGTCTTAGTTTGTGAATCTTATTTTAAAATTTTATTTATTTATTTTTGCCCATTTCCCCAGTACCAAATTCCTTTTGGTAAAACTTAAATCCTATTTTTAAAAATTTTGTCTCTGTTTCCTCTTTCCTCACTGTACCTTTGCACATGGGAAAAGTGTATGCAGTGAGAATTAGGAAAGAATGAAAAAAGTTATATAAATGAACTGGATTATTTCTACACAAAGCCTTTTTTATTCAGAAGCTGAGATAAGTAGTGTTGTGTCAGCATTATTGTGACACTGTAATCACTTGCATCAGCCATGCTAATCCTGAGGATGATTGCAAAACCCTTTTCGTAGGTGTTGCAAGCTGCATTTTGTAGTTTGGAAGATTCCACGTTTTCCAGACAGTGTATACAAGTATTGGTCCTCCATCCTTTGAATACAACCACCCATCTGCCAAAACAACAAAATGTTCCAAGTTTGTGAATGCTAAATTTTTCCCAATGTAGTGCTTAACAGAATTTGTAGTCAAATGTCTTAGAGATGTGTTTGGCTTCAATGAGTTTTCATACAGCTTTAAGGAAAAAAAATTGTAGCCACTGTGGGGTTTGGGAAGTGCACTACAAAGATTCCTCTGTTCCAATGCGCTGCTTGGCAGAATTGGCTGCTTTGCTTCTGTCTTTCTTAAAATACTACCAAATCTGTAGTTATCATGACAGATGGGTTTTTTTCTATAAATATACTCCTTTACAGACACACAAATATTGTCAGCTTCACTTAGCCATAGTAGATAATAACAGTAGTGAGTTAAGAAGAAATAAAGTATGCACAGTAATAGATGTTCTGGAGAAATGCAGCCACTGTTGTTGGTCGTCAGGGTCTGTGTGTTGTGTATTTTGACCCTGTTTGTCCAAAATATTTTAAGTACAAATGCTGGGTGTAAAGAGACTTCTGAAAGCAATAATGAAGCAGGGATTGAGCCCCAAAATCATTCCAAAACTTACTGAAAAAGAATGTCGATATTCAAAAAGTTCCAGTAAGCATGGTCCTAATGAGAATATTAAAAAAAATATGTATGTGACCTCTTCTTTACAGACTGGATCCAGCCACACTCTGGGAGGGAGTTTAGAAAGCAAGGGGATCCAGTCTGAACCTCGCGACTCAGCGGAGGGTCTTCCCAGACTCTTCTGTAACAATATACATGTACACATTTTCTTATGGAAGGCAAAATGTAATATTTGTAATACAACTGAACCTAAAAGTGCTAATTTGGAGAACTTCTGCAAAATAAAGTACGTTGCCTTTGTTCTGAGCCAAATTTAGCCTCAGTCTGGGCATTAAGAATTTTAAGATTTGGTTCCTGTCATGGCAGAGACTGCACTGACCTCTATGCCAGCCATGCCTTCCAATTCTGTGTTACCAAAAAAGTAGAAAAACTTAAGTCCAAACTGAATCCTTCCTTCTTTTCCCCCTTTTACTCCTCAGATCCGAAGTGTGGGCAGAAAGTTCAAGAGGCAAAACCATGGAGTTACCTTAACCTTTTCACTCGGATTGTTGGGGGAAACCAGGTGAAACAAGGCTCACACCCATGGCAGGTTTGCACAAGCAAATGTGGTTTTATTTTAAGAACAAATCCTGACTTTTCATAGAAATGATAAAAGAAGAAAACAGGTATACTTTGTGCTTACTGACACTTATGGTGTATTGTTGAGCTCCACCCTGCATTTACAAAAAGCAGTGAAGCAGGTAGAGAGGACATGGAACCTGTCCTGCTCCCTGATAAACCTTTACTCATAATTTTTTATTTTGTTTATCATAATTTCTGAAAGAGCATCTGTAGATTAGTCTCTTGTAAAGAGGCATGGGTGGGGTGAAACTGCTCAAAAATAAGGCACCGAAGGACCCCAGGCCCCGGCTATTGTCAGGCATCATGGATTTACAGTGCTCCCAGTGACCTGCAAAGGAAAAATTCTCAACCAACTAATGACCTTTATAGTGTGCCAGGTACCTTAGTGACTTGGCATTTATTATATGTGTGTTGCTTTTATCCAAGCACCAAGTCACAGCTGAGGGGAGAACAGTGAGGTTTAGGATCTCTTAGATTCAAGGACTGTAAGAATGCCATGGAAGTGTGTTTGCTTGAAATGCAGTGTGTACTTTAGCGATGTGAATCTTCAGGGACTACCTGCATGTAGTGTCTCTTCCTCAAATGCAACCAAGAGACCAGATATAGAGATTTTCTTTATTTGGCATGCCTTCTTTATATGATGCAGGTTTCCTTGAAACGAAGGCAGAAGCATTTCTGTGGAGGCACCATTGTTTCTGCTCAGTGGGTGGTCACGGCAGCTCACTGCATCTTAGACAGGTATGTATGTGATATTTCAGAAGAAGGCTGCAGGTGCAGAAAAACTTTGATTGTAAAAGTGTGTGTGTGTGCTGTAGCATCTTTTTGTGGTGATTACTTACAGGTGCTACCCTTTTATTTGTAACCAATATTTTCCATGTTTTAACAGAAGGGGAGAAACAAACCTTTGAACATTTCAAGAATAATCAAAATAAACTTACAGGGACTGGCAGGGACTGATTTATTTTGGAAGTGTAGCTAAAAATCTGTACCTAACTAAAATTATCATGTGACCGCAATGGTTTTTTTAGCGGTAGCAACTGGCAGAGTATATGCAATTGAATGGTGAAAGGATATAGTACTGACCTCTTGCATTATGATGATTTTCAGCCTTAGTCCTGAAAAAGAAAAAAACAAACCAAAAAAAACAAACAAAAAAACACCACCGAAAAACAAAGCCAAAATGTTGTATGGAAGGCTTCAGTTCTGATTCTGTGGTGGCTTCACTGAGGTTCTCATTCCTTTATAATTAATACTGAATCTTACTGCTAATGGATCACCTGGAATTATAACTTTATTCTGTATCTGGCATTGTATGTGATTGATCACATCTTGAACAAATTAGCCAGTAACTGCAGAGTTTATATTAACTACAGAAGGACAGGCAATATCTAAATCAGCATAAAGCCTAATTCTTCAAGTCTAATGAATAAATCTGAAGTGGAACAAAAAGTTTGATGGTTGCTTCTGTGTTTCCTTGCTGCACATTTGATCTGGTACTAGGAGCCCTAAAGCAGGATTCCCTATGTTTTCAAGGTATAAACAGAATGCTAGAGAAGTGGTCTGATTTTTTTCTGTGCTTTCCTATGTCCAAAACTTCCCTACTTCAAAAAGCAGTGTGACTGAACATTTTTAAACACGGTAAGAGGACCTGGTTCCTTAGTGGACCACAAAACCACAGTCAGGAATGTAGCTAAATGATTTTTCTTAGTCCTTTTCATCTCCCAGTTTCTGCTGTGGGGCATACTCAGCTCTTGATGACTGTACATATTAAGTGCTCTAAAATCTGAAGATGAAAGTTATTAGATATCAGTAGTAATAACTTCTGTGTTTAAAAGCAACTATATTTTTTCCTGTAATTTTGAAGATTTCTGTAGCTGAATTTTTATTTTTGTGTTCTACAGGAACCTACTCCAGTACTTGAATGTCACTGCAGGAGAGCATGATTTGAGGATCAGGGAGAATGGCGAGCAGACCCTCCCTGTTAAATATGTCATTAAGCATCCAAAATTTGACCCCAGAAGGCCGATGAACTATGACATTGCCCTTCTGAAGCTGGATGGAGCCTTCAGCTTCAGTAAGGCCATAGTTATCTGTGATCTTTTTCAGCGGGGAAAGTAAGGTCTTTGATTCTCCCAGATGTTGTGAAAAGTCTTGAAACTCAGTTTAAACCCATTTCGTAGCTGTCAGATTATACTACTAAATTCTCCAGAGTCTTTTGCAACTGCAGTATTTAAAATACCAGAGGTAAGTCAGAAAAAATGTATCAGTTCAATCAAATGGTCTTCTTGAGACTTAATATTCCCTTGACAAAAAAGGTATTGTTCTTAGTATGCAGATTAAAATTTGACCAAATAGAGGTGTGTACGTTTTTTTATCTAAGGTGTAGGTGTAGATTTCTGCCTCTGGTGAACAGTAAAGGCAGACCAGAGCTCAGAGTATACTGCAGGACTGTCTGTACCTTACTCACATCCCCTCTGCTCTTTGCCCTCTTTTCCCTTCCTGCAGACCGCCGCAAGGAGCATGGGATTATCTTCAGGACTGGCAGGGGGCTGGAAGGGGAAGGGGAGGGGAGGACAACTGTTGCTTCCCTGTCACTCAGCCTGTGAGCCAGCCATTTCTCAGCTCTACGCTAGCTTTGCCTTATGGTCAGGTTTTCTGGAAGGCTACTTTACATCAGTTTTACATAATACTGAGGTGTATAGGAGAGTCCACCCGACACTTTGCTCTTCTAAAGACTCTGTCTCACATCATTAGGTTGCTCTTTCTTTATGACAAAGGTGCGCGACTACTTTTTCTAATGGAAGTTTGGATCATGGATAGCAGCTAATTTTAAGGCCTGAGCTGGAGCTTGTGGTGCTCCTGGCTTTCTTTTTCTATTCCAAAACACTATGAAATAGAGGCACAGGTAAATTGTCAAATGACAGGTTAGTTTTTCAGATGCCACAAAAATAACAGTACTTTTTAGTTTTAAAAACACTAACTGAGAAAGGAAGCTTTTTGTTGTTCTTTCAAATTCTTATTAATAAAATTCATGTCCATCTTTGGCAGGTTCATCAGTTTTGCCAGCATGTCTTCCTGATCCAGATGAAAAGTTTGAAGCAGGATATATCTGCACTGCTTGTGGTTGGGGCCGTTTAAATGAGAGTAAGCCACTCAAATTATTCTTTGACATTCAGGTTTCTCAGGTGATTATTTCTGAAGCGAAGAGCTTGATTGCATAGATCGCAGACGGACCAGAAAAAAAACATCAACTGACCATAAGAACTGTAATCTCAAAATGGGATCTTTGCTAGCTTCTGTGCCTACCTGTGAATTGTCTCAAAATGGATCACGTATATTACAATATATAGACTTGTATTTCAATTTTGAAGCATTTTGAAGTTTATTCTAATAAAACTGCTTATGTACACAAACCTGGATGTTTATGTAACCATAAAATGGCTTGGAACAGGTTTAGAATTCCTTTTTGTGTATTAGCAGTGACATTAAGTTCACCTTTTAGCATTTCTTATGAACATGGTTTTTTGTATTTCAGATGGACTACTCCCTCAGGTCTTGTATGAAGTCAATCTACCAATCCTAAGCAGTAAGGAGTGTTCAAGAGCATTATCAACTTTAAAGAAACCCATCCAAGGTGACACTATAATGTGTGCTGGATTTCCAGATGGAGGAAAAGATGCCTGCCAGGTCAGCTGAACAGGGGGCCTTGTGTACTTACAAGTGTTTCTCAGGAGCTCAAGGCTCTGTGTGCCTAAGTGAATAAATACACTGTAAACTGCGGTATTTGGAGTGTATTGATTTTGATATATGAATTCTTTCCAAGATTCGGCATGGGGCAATGCACTCAATTCAATTACATGATTCCATTTTAATTACTGTATGAGTTGTATGACAGGTTCCTGAAAGCAATTTTCCTATGTGTCTTGGTGAAATAATGCTTAGGGCTTTCTAACTTCAGAACTCTTGATAAATTAATTAGTTAATGTTGCTGAGATCCTAAGGAGGAAATTAGAAAGTATTGCTGTGGATTACAGGAAGGAGAGGCAGTGAGATAAAGGTTCAGTGATTGTTCCTTGTCATGGGGTTAAAAAAAAAAAAGCCTCTCACTCCTTTTTACATGCTAAAACACAACAGATGTGCACCCGTGAGGGAATTAGTTTGTCTCTCGCCCTCTTGACAATCCTGACTAAACACAAGAAGTCTGTGTCTTCACATTTTTTTTTAAATTACTGTTCCCTGTGTTGCAGGTCTGTTAGTATGGCACAAAAGAGAACTCAATAAACTCTTTAAGGCTTGCTCAGTGGTATGCACGTACTTTTGTAAGCTGTGCGTTGTGGGCTTTTACTTTTTTTTTTACAGGGAGACTCGGGAGGCCCTCTTTTGTGTCGAAGTAAGCATGGTGCCTGGACTCTCGCTGGTGTGATCTCCTGGGGGATGGGATGTGCTCGTGGCTGGATAAGTAATGAGAAGAAGAAACATTACAACAGAGGATCTCCGGGAATATTCACAGACCTCAGCGTGGTGCTTTCCTGGATGCAAGAGAACATGAGTGCTGGTATTAAGTCTCCACAGTAATGTGTTCCTCACTTGTGACAACTCTTCTGTCTTATAATCATATTTAATTTAATTTTGTCTTTTTCGACACATAGGACTTATATTTTTCCCATTTTTCCTGGCAAATCACTATAATATTTCATGATGCCTTTAAGATTACGGTACTGATTGGTAGCTGCCGAAACCAAATTGAGACAGTTGTAAATGTTTGTTTCTCTTCCACTTTGCCTCGTACTTGGACTGTATGTGTGTGTGTATATATATAATTTTATTTTTTAATTTGAAGAATGGTCCTTTTCTCCAGCTAGCCAGTTAGCCTGGTATTTTTGTTTTTAAGTAGAAATTCACCAGTTGAAATTGAAGATATATGTATGGAATTTCAGACAAAGTCACTTGTCATTTTTCTCAGGTGAAACATGTTGGATCAGAGATTTGACTACATGGGGAAAAGTCACCCTCTCAGAATGGCTTTTGCTTGCTCTGCCCAAAAGGCTACATATGCCCTCTGTGCAGGGGAACAGCATGAAAATTATCTGTCACTTGCAAAATGGTGGAGCTGGAGATGAAAGTGACGGTCTGTCTAGGGATGATCTTCACTCACAACATTAAGAAACTGAACTAAAATTTTCTTCCCGTTTGGGGTGTTTTCATTAAAAGGTATTGGAGAATGCGTTAAAAAATTATGCAGAGAACAGAAAAACTGAGGAGGGGTGTTTAAGAGGATTTGCTAGTTACTGAAGAAAAAAAATTGTAAAGGAAAAAACCCCCAGCTTTCCCATTAGAAACCAGCTTCAACTGGTGACTGAAAAAAGAAATCCTCATAATGTTGGAGAAAAATGAAAGGGGTTTCGCTTCTGCAAAATATTTTGGTTTTCAACATAAAAAAATGAAGAGGGAGACACAGGGTCTTTTTATTAAACGTATATTCTTTGGCCCAATAAATTATCAGGAAAAAATAATATGATTAGCTATTGTGGTAATTAAAGTGTGTTGGATCCAGTGAACAGAAAAAGCAATTTGGTAGGTAAAGTGAAAACACAACTTTCAATTGCATGGCACTAGGTTTTGTTTTCTCACTCTTTTATACTGTCACTGGTGCAGAAGATCTTAACTGTAATTGCTATCAGGCTTAATGTCCCTGATGTGATGCTAGCAGTTGGATTCTGCTACCCTTACTTGAAATGTATAGTATTTACTCAACAAGTACATAGAAAGAGCGTACTGTGCTGCTCAGATTGAGCAGTGGCCTGTCAATGTATGGTTAATTCTAGAAGTGGCTACTCCAGAATTGTTTATTCCAAAGTCAGCATTGCCTGAACCTGCAGTTTTGTTCTAATTCTAAGCCTAGTTTATTGTAGGCACTATGTCCCTAAGAAGCATTTGAATTTGCCTCAGTGCTAGCTGTGTGAAACTACCATTTCACACAGATGAAAATAAAGCCTACATTATGAATATGAAACTACAGTAATTTCTTCTTCTTTTTCCACCGCCTTCCCCATCCCTCCCTTATTAGATCTGAAAATGAAAAGCTCCACAGGTGAGTACAGTATTTTTTTCACACTATCTGTGTTAAAGCATAAAAAGACCCCAAAAATAGCCTTAAATATAATTATGAAGGAAGAAATGTGAAGAAACTTGACTCATCAAAGCACTTTTAAATGTATGCTTTAAATATATCCTTTTTTCCTCCTGGTCTGTAAAAAAAAAAAAAAAATAAAAAAAAAAATTATGTAGGGTTGTACTTATGTACTGGAGACTTCAAAAAGGAATTTTCCTGAAGACAGCTACATATATAAAGCCATATTTTTATTGATATGTAAATAAAATTAATGGGGAAAATGTAGAACAGAGCCTCAAGCAATGCACGAAATCTAGTTAGTGAAGTTGATTTTGTATAAAAATACAGATTCTAAATAGAAAGTGTGAGGTAAATTAATACTTTCGTGCAGTCTGTGCTGAATCTATCTGCTTGTCTGGTGTCTATTTATATGAATAAAATGCAAAAAAAAAAACCCCACAAAACCCAACCCTAAATGTAACATGTTTTAAAATTTAAGTCTGTCTTTGATGCTGCCATGTTTATGTTCTTGTGGGACCATCTGTTCATCTAGGTGCAAGTTCCCAGAAAGACATTGGAAACAACTCTTGTGTGGACTAGATCTTAATTTTAATTTTAGTAATCTGGAGTGAGATTTCTCAGAAGAGAAACAAGCTTGGACACACAGTCAGTTTGTATAGACTTGCTGTGGCCAGTGAGAATTGGGTATTTAAGTGCTATTTGTGTCATTTTGAAATTTTTTATTTGCCTTCCTAGGACACTGCAGGTAAGATAATCTTATAAGAATGTGACTCAAACATTATTGGCTGGAAGGTTGCACTCAAAGAATTGCAATCAATGGCTCAATGTCCGAGTGGAGACCAGTGACAAGCAGTGTTCCTCCGGGATCGGTACTGGGACCGGTGATGTTTAACATCTTTGTTGGCAACGTGAACGGTGTCATTGAGTGCACCCTCAGCAAGTTTGCCAGTTGGGTGGTGAGGTCAACACACTGGAGGGAAGGGAGGCCATCCAAAGAGACCTGGAAAGGCTGGAGAGGTGGACCTGTGCAAACCTCATGAAGTTCGGCAAGGCCAAGTGCAAGGTCCTGCACCTGGGCCGAGACAATCCCAAGCACAGATACAGGCTGGGCAATGAGTGGGTTGAGGGCACCCCTGGGGAGGAGGACTTGGGAGTCATGGTGGATGATAGGATGAACCTGAGCCAACAGTGTGTGCCTGCAGCCCAAAAAGCCAACCGTATCCCGGGCTGCGTGAAAAGAAGAGCGGCCAGCAGGTCGGGGGAGGTGATTCTGC